ATGAATGTTGTGTTCTATTTTTAATATTATGTATTGTCATGTTTTTTTGTCTTTGTACCCCCCTCCCCGTGTTTTGTAAGCCGCCCTGAGTCCCCTCAGGGAAAAGGGCGGCCTATAAATTATAATAAACATTCTAAACATTCTAAACATTCCTTCTCCCTCTCGCAATCCCAATCACCTTCTCCCTAAAACCTAAAACTCTCCGTGGAGGCGCGTTGGGACCGGGGCAGCTTTCTGGGGTGAGGGGGGGGGGAGAAAGAGCTGATCCGGTGCCCGGTTTGTACACCCCCCACCCCCACCCAAGACCTGCAAAGCAACTCGGGTCGCCTATGTCACGTCTGCAAGTCAACAATCTTCAGCCGGCAAGGAATTGTCTTGCAACGACGGATCGGGGGAAATGTGCAACGCTTCGGTGTATAAGGGCTATGTGTAGGATGCCGCCGCTTTCCTCCCGAATCCGCGAAGCCGGTTCTGCGCGGCCGGCAAAAGATTGGCTGACTCCTTCGGCGCCGGTTGTTACCTTGCGGCCCCACAAAGGCTGGGAATAAACCGCTTACTTTGGGGGTAAAGAAATGGGGGGGGGGTCCTGCCTGCGCCAGAGCAAGCTGGGCAGGGCGGGAGCGAACCGTGAGTTCTCCGCAAAGCTAGCCCCGCGGCTCTTACTCGGGAGTAAACCCCGACTTCGAGAGAAAGCGGTGCTTCCAACTTCGCGCAGCTTTTTCGGGTCTCTCTCTCTCTAGTTAGTAGCGCCCGATCCGATCCCCGAGCTGGGCTCCCCGCGCGCCGCGCGCACGCAACCCCGCGCGAGCAGTTTGAAGGTGGAGGAGAGGAGTTGGGGAGGGGAGGAACGAAAGAGAGAGCGCGGGTAAGAATCCTTTGATTTCAATCCAAGTCTTTTCGTCCTACTCTGCCCGGGCAAAATTTGGAGGCTAAGAAGACTCTCGCTCGGAAGGAAGGAAGGAAGGAAGGAAGGAAGGAAGGAAGGAAGGAAGGAAGGAAGGAAGGAAGGAAGGAATGAGCTGGATGAAAAAACCGTGGAGGAAAGGAGGGAGGGAAGAGGGAAGAAAGGAAGGAAGGAAAAACTGGGGAGGGAGGAAAGAAGGAAGGAAGGAGCTGGATAGAAAAAAACAGATGAAGGGAGGGGGAAGCAGGATGGAAAAACTGGGAAGGAAGGAAGGAATGAGCTAGATGAAAAAACCGTGGAGGAAGGGAGGGAGGGAAGAGGGAAGAAAGGAAGGAAGGAAAAACTGGGGAGGAAAGAAGGAAGGAGCTGGAGAGAAAAAACGGGGAGGGAGGGAGGAGCAGGATGGAAAAACTGGAAAGGAAGGAAGGAAGGGAGGGAGGGAGGGAGGGAGAGAGGAAGGAAGGAGCTGGCTGGAAAAACTGGGAAGGAAGGGAGAGATGAAGGAAGGAAGGAAGGAAACAAGGAAGGATAAAGCTGCTGAAAGTAGGGCCATTCCGAGGCCCACGCGATTTTCGTGTCTCCCCCTCCCCTCCACCGAGGATAAGGCCGGGGGGGGGATGCGTTTAGCTGCAAGGAGATCCGCGCGGCTTTCGTCTCTCAACGTGGAATTTCGGGGGGGGGGGCGGATTCTCAGATCGCCGGAGCGGAGCTAACGACCTCGGGAGACGCGGAGCATCGCCGCTTTAAGAGCCTCTCCGCGACGCCCAGTCGGCCTGGCAGAGAACCTCCGACCCCAGCGAGCAATCCCGAGCGCTCAGCAGACCGTGCCAGACGCGGCGGCCCTTCGGTGAGTGACAGCACGCCAAGAGCCGTCGGGGTCCCCGCGGTAGAAATTCCCAGAGTTCACCCGTGACCCCCGAAAGGGGATACATTTTAAAAAAAGGAGAAGAAGAAGAAGAATAAACAGAAGGAGGAGTAGGGGTAGGGGAAATACTGGGCAAGACCCGCGTTTGATACGTGTGAACGCAGCCGCTCCTCCAAGCCCGGTTTGCAGCCTTCGGGCTGCTCGTGTCCCCGTCCTCCCCCACGCCCCCCATCGCGCACGGGGGTCGCAGAAAAGGCTTTGGAGGGGGGTTGGGTGGGCAAGCTTTTTCCTAACCCCCCCCCCCCCCGCTTAGGTATTGCACG